TCATAGTTTGAGGACCCATGATTTAGAGTAATGGGCATTGTTTAAGGGAATAGGGTTAGTTTAGAGTAATGGGCATTGTTTAAGGGAATTGAATTAGTTTAGAGCAGGGGTCGTCAAACTCTGGCCCCCCAGATGTTGCTGAACTACAACTCACATGATTCTCTGGCTATCTATGTAATTCAAAGAAGCATGAGAGTTGTAGTTCAGCAACATCTGGAGGGCCAGTTTGAGGACCCCTGGTTTAGAGTAATGGGCATTGTTTAAGGGAAATGGGTTAGTTTAGAGCAGGGGTCCTTAAACTCCGGCCCCCCAGATGTTGCTGAACTACAACTCCCATTATAGCAAGAGACTCATGGGAGTTGTAGTTCAGCAACATCTGGGGGGGCCAGAGTTTGAGGGACCCTGGTTTAGAGTAATGGGCATTGTTTAAGGGAATGGGGTTAGTTTATAGTAATGGGCACTGTTTAGGGAAATGGGGTTAGTTTAGAATAATGGGAATTGTTTAGGGGAATGGGGTTAGTTTAGAGTAATGGCCATTGTTTAGGGAAATGGGGTTAGTTTAGAGTAATGGCCATTGTTTAGGGAAATGGGGTTAGTTTAGAGTAATGACCATTGTTTAGGGGAATGGGGTGAGTTTATTCTGGGGTATGAGCCCTCTGGGTGAGGGGTAGGGTTGCTAGATCCACTTTATTTTCCTGGACACATATCGCTTGTTATGCTAATGAGGAGCACAAGAAAAGTGTTGCCTTAAACATGAAATCATACATTAATAGGTTACTACAAGCCCTGTGACCATTTCTGTGTTTTGACGTGGTCATGGTGTTTGGTGTCTGTATGTGCAACATTTTGTTGTTGCAGTGAAACACGGCACATAGGAAGTTTAACCAAGTGAAACAACACCTTATGCAGCTCTGCAGTAGCCCGATGTAGTTAACATTGCTGCAGAGGAAATCTGATGCTTGGCGGGCACCCTGGTGAGAGGGCAAACCATTAAAAAAGTTTACCTCGTTACTGGGGAAGGTGCTACGGTACTCCTAGTATCATACAGCGAGTTGTAGTTGTTATGATGCTGGGAGAAACTCTCTAATTGTTGAGGAGACATTCTAAGCACCAAAACGTCTACATGTTAATGTCATAGTTTTGGTGCATAGATACTGTCCCTGTCCTCAGATAATGTAAAATATTGTCCTCTCTGAGGATCCACAGTGTTTATATTTAGCTATAACATACCTCAAGTGCCTGTCTGCCAGACTGACAAGTGCTCAAATGGTCAGGAACACTGTCACAGACTGCCTAATGTAAATTCTGTGCAAAATTACATTTGTCGTCAGCGTACCTATCGATCTGGCGATAAATGTGTGACGAACGCCCTTTGGCTTGGGCGTTCACCACCAGCTCCCAGAGGAGCCTACTAGCCAGCCTCCTGCCCCAGGACTATGGGCCATGCAAAAGACATGAAAAAGTCTTGTTCGTGAGATTTTCCTTTTGGTTCTGGAACCAAACTAAGGACCACCCAGGAGCTTGATAAACCCTATTAACACCTTGTAATGGTTCTCACCTCAGTGTTCTAATTGTTCGTCTGGGTGGCCGCAATTCATACGAACGACCATTTGGTGGCGGCCATCTTGTTCGCATGAACGCAGGCAGCGGTCTTTGGTCGTCGAGTTCATGGAACTAAAATCAGACACACCGAAACTCCCGAACACTGCTGGACTTCCATCATCGCCTGCGTTCGGTTCTGTAGATCCTTGAAGAACACTGTTCAGTGAAATCATTCATCTGGATGAGGAGAACAAGCTCAGCAGTTTAAATATGGATTATGTTCGGTATTGTATTCATTTTTATGTTACCAAAGTTGGCCGACCGTTAGCACTGACTTCATGGAACTATTTTGGGCTTAAGCCACATGTGCGGTCGGTTAAGAACGGGACTTCCATGGAAAACCCAAACCCCTGAACCGATCTGGGTGATTTCTGGATATGTTGGTCACCCAAATCAGGACTATCACGGGATGTGACTTTTGTGGGGTTTTCGTGTATTTTATTTGTATATTGGGTTGTTTTAAATTATTCTATTTTCTGTCCCTGAGAGATAATTAAATTATAAGTGTTTGCTCAGGTAATGATCTCTCAGGCACAGAGGATCCTGGGAGGGATTTCCCTGTAATGTTGGATTGGAAACACCTTGTAGGGGCTATTTTATAAAAGCAGGCCATCTGGACAGATTAAAGCATTCCAGTTTGTACTCCAAGAACTATGTGTCATGTAGTTACTGGGAGGGGAAAGGTCTGATCACTGTTCCAGCTTGTGGAGGATTCAACGGGGAAAGTACTTTTAAAGGGACATTATAGTCACCCAGACCACTTCAGCTCAATGAAGTGGTCTGGGTGCCAGGTCCATCAGGTTTTAACCTTTCACATGTGAACATAACAGTTTCAGAGAAACTGTTATGTTTACATTTGGGGTTAACCAGCCTCTAGTGGCTGTCTTCCAGACAGCCACTAGAGGCGCATCTGCGACGCTGGAGACGAATTTTGCCTCCATCGCGCAGAGCGTCCATAGGAAAGCATTGAGAAATGCTTTCCTATGGACACTTTGAATGCACGTGTGGGACTTGCCGCGCATGCGCATTCAGCTCCAGTGACGTCAAACGGGGGAGCTGACGTCGGACGGGGAGGAGTGGTCACCGGCGCTGGAATAAGGTAAGTGGCTGAAGGGGTTTTAACCCCTTCAGCGCCACGGGAGGGGGACCCTGAAGGTGGTGGCACCCTCAGGGCACTATAGTGTCAGGAAAACTGCTTTGTTTTCCTGACACTATAGTGATCCTTTAAGGACTAGAGCTCCCAGGACTATGTGTGTTGTCCAGTCCCTGGGAGTGGATAGAGTGAGTCCCCTATTCGGTTCCAGGACCCCCGTCAAGCCACGGCGACTAGGGGCAGAAGCGTTGAGGTTTTTCCCCTGTTCCAGCTAGGAAGTGGTCCTTTGGCGGAGGTACCCAACCGGGGTACAGGGAACTCTGTTACAATCCGTAATGATCTTTTCTCCTGCAGACAGTGCGCCTGCAAAAGAAAAACCTTGCTTTCCCCTCCTTTTTAAGAAGTATAAGGGGAATATTGGCTAGATCTGCAAAGTAAAGTGATTTAACTCCAAAATGGCAGAGAATTGAGTAGTGACAATGGATGCACCAAACACTCTATTAAGCTGAAGCAAAGTGATCCTTTATCTGTAGAACAGTCGCTGATCTTCAACTTGAGCAACTGACTTATGTCCAAGAAAACATGGTGGATCTTGTGACCCTAGTTTTAGCACAGCAGTATTGACAATGACCACGTATCCATTCAATATATTTAATTATATGAATGGATTTTTAAAGTAATGTTTTTCATTTCTTTCTATTTTTACTTATTTCCTTGAGAATGAAAAATGTGCCTTTCAACCTGCCGAAGTCAGTCCCAGGATAATCACTTTCCTGATAACCAGAGTCCATTCTGAGACTGTCTACTTCTGTGAATAATAATGTTCAAGAACACGCAGCCAATGACTGAGAGGATTCTGAATCTCACCCTGGAGATCATATACCTCCTCACTGGAGAGGTGAGGAATTCTGGGTAAATCTCAATGATTTCTGTCAGTCAATATCTTAGTATTCTATGACACAGTCAGTGTTCCGTTTAAATTAATGTTTGTATACAGTTTGCCTAGCAACAGCACATCTGGATGTTAAAACTGGAAGAGAGGAGCGCATTTTACTAATGTGAATATTTAAAGGAAGTAAAATACATTTTAAACCAATTACTCTGGGCAGTTATCACTAAATATATGCTGCTGGGGAGAAAACAACATTTTGCTGTTTCTCTTTAGACTTTAAATTATTATGCATGCATGCTTATATTATTAAAGGACAGCTATCACCTCAAAACATTTAAAAAAAAATAATAACTCATTCCTACCTATGACTGAAGGAGCCTGTCATACTAAAGTTAAGGAAGAGTCTTTCTCATTTTTTACATATACTCCATTTTAACACCTAATGAAAGGATTAGTATATGAAAACATAGCTTAGAGGTCAGAGTTCTTTAGCACTTACTCATTTTCCTTGAGCAGCTTGTGAATTGCCTACTGAATTACACTGTTCACCTTTATTCAAGAAAGCAATTCCAGAAACTAAATGGCCTGTTCCCTGCTTACAAACATGGTAAGAACGACCACTGAGAGATACACAGCGGCCCTCTCTTGCCAATTTTGCTGAATACACATTCCTTTAATTGCAAACCTTTTGTGGGTTGTCATTAAAGGGTTAAATAAAATCAGTTTTCACAGCAAGCAGTTTCCATTGCCATATATTAAAAATTCAAGGAATCTGCTAAAACAGGAGTTCCCAACCCAGTCCTCAAGTACCCCCTACCAGTCTAGGATTTAGGGATTACCCTGTTGTGTCTAAAGTGTTTTTGTTTTTTTCCAAAAACACCTTAGACACAATTGAGTAATCCTTAAATCCTGGGCTGTTAGGGGGTACTTAAGGACTGAGTTAGGAACCACTGGGCTGGAATATAAAGTTGTGTGAGTTTTCTTTAGATACCCCAATCTCCTGTTGTATATTCATCAAGTTTTGGTCCAGCTTCTTATTTTCTGGGTATTGTGTATTTTATTCTCTCTAAGCATGGTCTCATTTTCTATCCACTGCTGTTTGGGAATATCAGTGTATGTATTATTTAGATCTGGATCACTGGGGGAAGTTAATATCATGTTGCAAAATACCCAATGCGTTATGCAATGTGATTTGATACTAAATAAATCTATATATTAGAAATATACGTTTCCCTCTTTTAAAACATAAAACTATGTCATTTTGAAGAAGCCTGCAGTCACATATAGCAGCAGTCAACATGTGACAGAAGGATCCTGTAGGACCCAGATCTCCATCACGGTGTCTCCACCTCACTCGCCGATACATGAAAGAAACAATGTCCAGAAGATCCTGGAACTGACCAACCAGATCATCCACCTGCTGACTGGAGAGGTGAGGATGCTGGGAATGGGACGTTATACAGTAAAACCAAGCGATGTGTCTGGATGGTGACTGTATCATTGTGTGTGTCAGGTTCCTATAAGGTGTGAGGATGTCACTGTCCATCTCTCCATGGAGGAGTGGGAGTATTTAGAAGGACACAAGGATCTCTACAAAGATGTGATGATGGAGAATCACCAGCTCCTCAGCTCACTGGGTATGTAAAGAGTTATATGACCAAAGCTATAGGTGATTTCTACAGTATGTATTGTTGACCATGGTTGTCTTCTTTCACTTTTGCTAAACCCACACAAATATGCCTTTTTAGTGATAGATATTGATTTCTTTGTATAGTGTGTCTGTTTGTATAACCCATGGGTCGTCAACCTGGTCCCTACCGCCCACTAGTGGGCGTTTCAGGATTCCAGGTGGGCAGTAGGGATTTCCTCATTTTGAGAGATTGGGAGGGCCGGTGCGAGCCGGTGGTATCCCTGCGACCGGGTACCGCCATCACCATGTAAATTTGTACATAATATGCCAGTGTGTGTTCACAGGTAGTTGTATGACTCAGATATGTGCCATGCTGGGAATGCAAATTTGTAAACTTCTCTTTAAAAAAAGTGAATTAATTAATGTACAGTATGCAGATTCCTCTGTGTCACTGTGTAACCCACAATTGCTAAAGAAGACGTTAAATAGCACTAAAATAGTGCATGTATGAAAGGGTGGTGCACAGTTAAGGACAGAAATCCCAGGAAGCCTGGCGTACTGGTAGGGTTCTGGAATTCAGGCTGTTGGAACAGGACATCATTCATTACATCTAATCGTGATTTTTTTTTCCCCCCTCTAATAGATGGATCCAGTGACAGAAAAGCTCTTAAACAATACAATCTGTCTGTATCAGGACAAGATTGTTTAAAGGAAAATAAAAGTGACAAAAAAGTTAATCCAGCAACAAACTTTTTAAGATTTAATGGACTTAGAAAACGATTGAGAAGAACTGTAAGAAACAAGGAATCTGCCTCACGTGAAAACAGAAATCTCAGGAATTCTGGCATTTCTATACCCACAGAGAACTCACAAATACAACATTGGTCAACCGGTTTTAAAGACAAAATGGCTTTAAGTGAAAATGAAACTTTCTTAGACACCAACATTTATACACCCACTGAATGTACACAGAGAGAGAGTTCACTGAATCTTAGTAATGAGGCATGCACATCATGTGAAGAAGTACAACTTACTGACACTGAAAGTAAAACACTCCCAGAATGTACACAGGCAGAATATCCACCCACTCACATTAAGGAGGAATCAGTCTCATGTGACAATGGAAATTCCACAGACATAGACATTTATACACCCACAGCACATACACAGACAGAATATACCTATGCCAACATGAAGAAAAAAATGTCTTTGTGTAAAGATGGAGAATTCACAGACAGTGACTCCAATGGGCTTATAGATTATAATATTATTCATATTAAGGAGGAATCTGCCTCATGTCAAGAAGGGAATCTTACAGACACTGACATTTACTCAGCCATAGAATTTACACAGACAGATCTTATATCCACTCATGTCAGAAACCACAATGAGGTGAGCAGTAATACACTGGATAAGTATAATAATTTGTCAGTAGCTGGAAGCAGCAATTGTGATAGTATCTATAACAAAGCTCCTTCCTTCTCCCTCCAAAACCCATACAACAGTGACAGGGCAAATAACTGCTCAGAGTGTCAGAAAGCTTTTATAAGTAAATCAGAACTTGTTAAGCATCAAACCATTCATAAAAGAAAGAGACTGACATGTTCTATCTGTCAGAAGAACTTCTCTGGCAGATACCATCTAATTGTACATCAGAGGGTCCATACTGGAGAAAAACTGTTTTCCTGCGGAGAATGTCAGAAATGCTTTTCTGTTAAATCAAGTCTGATTTCACATCAAAGAACCCACAGAGGAGAGAAACCATATTCTTGTTCTGAATGTGGACAGCTTTTCACTGCTAAATCAAGTCTTGTTACCCATCAGAGGAGTCACACAGGAGAAAAACCATTCCCCTGCTCTCTGTGTGGGAAACGTTTTACCCGAAGCTCTCATCTTGCAAGACATAGGACTACTCACACTAGAGAAAAAAACTTCTTATGTTCTGAATGTGGGAACTGTTTTACTGCTAAATCATGTCTTATGAGACATCTGAGGATTCACACCGGTGAGAAACCATATTCCTGTCCTGAGTGTGGGAAATCTTTTACTCAAAATTCACATCTTGTTTCACATCGGAGGACTCACAGAGGAGAAAACCCATTCTTATGTCCCATACGTGGACGTTTTTTTAGAGGTAACTCAAATCATTATGGTTACCCGCAGATTCATCTAGAAAACAAACCATTTTCTTTTTGCTAAGCTCTGAAAATAACTTTATTAAAATTGAGATGTACACAACCAGCCCACAAAGTTACATTATGAGTGCATGTGACTTTCAGGAAATGTAAAGCCTCATCTCCACCTGCTCACAACTATGTGCATAGAATAGCTGAACACAATTTGTCATGACAGCACCACCAATATTCTCAAAATCTTACAAGTTCTGGTTGAAAATTTTACAAGTTCCTATCTCCTGGCATCTTTCTATTTCCTTGCACTTTTAGCTATTTATGCATTCTTCAACCACTTGCCTACTTGTCAAACTGGAGACCCCTCCCTCTTTTTCAGTTCTCCGTTTCAATCTTTCTGACCTCTTTGTTCTTATTTTCCTTGCCATTTTTATCCATTGTCACCTCTTACTCACGTTTATCCAGCATCACTCCTTATGTGAATAAGCTTTCTTTAAGCTATTTACAATTAATGTATTTTCACCTATTCCCGGATAATTATACCAAACATTTGATTTAAAAAAAAAAAAAAAAAAAAGACTCGCTCCTTTAAATATTTTATGAGATATGTAAAATAGTTAACAGTATTTGAACATGGGCATTTTTCCTTATTTTAAAGACACCATTGGCACATTTTTCTGTTCAATTATCATTTTTAAATGTGTGTTGTGTACACGTTTTTAATTATCTATACTCACGACAGACACATATTAAATTCCATAGGGCCCTAGGTAAGTTACCAGTTTGCCCCCCCAACCATCATTTTTCACATAGGAATGGTAACTGGGGCTAAACAAACTCATGGTTCCTGTCTAGCACCTGGACCATAGATGACTGCCTAGGGTCACCTTATGGTTAATCTTGCTCTGATACAGAGTATTTAAATGTATTATTAGTTTAATGATCACCCAGCAAGTTTCAGTGTGCTTAGCTTTTTGAGGAAGCTCAATGCACCTTTACAGTACCATGCATGCCTAATATGTACTGGTTCTGCTAGTTACAGCTTCTATAGAAAGACTTTTTGCATGATGTTTGAGTAATTTACAAAACTCCTTTACCGATTTCAAAAGGCGATTGAATTGATTAAAACGTAAACATTTATTGCATACTGGTAGATTTGTTATGTTGGTATGTCTGTTTGGATTATTAAAATTTTGTCACCTATTCAGATGTATTTAAATTAGTTTGTTTTACAGTCTGTTCAATTGGTGGACATATAAGAGTAATTATATTTAAAAAAAAACAAATGTGGAAAAGATGCAGCTTTTAGTCTTCTGTGGGGACTCCAAAATCCCACTATAATATATAAAACCACCAAAAAATACAGCAGAGAGTTTGGTTGGTGTCCCCACCTTTCAAACACTTTGTTAGAGTGCAGCGCTCTATAAGTGTCTAGTGAAAACACACACTTACCCCTCAAAGTTTGTGGGGGTTGTACATGAAAAAAATATAGAAAAGAACATAAAATAGTGCAATATTGTATAGCAGAAATAAAGTTACGTTTATACAGTGAGTGAAAATAAACTCACATTTTTTAGAGCCTTTTATATGGATATAGGCTCTAAACACTTCAGTTTCTGTGCCTTTTAAGGTAGGCAACCGTACCCTTCTTGTATTGGTAAATCCCTTTTATTCCTCACAATGGTTAATGTAAAGGAAAAAAAAAAAAATAGGAAACTTGTGGGTGTAGTATTTCAAGCTTTGGTATAAAATTTATCCCAAATAGAGTAAAAATAGGTGCTCACCTTTTTTAGAGTCTTTTAGTAACTGGCTCTACGTTTAGAGACTTTGTGTCAATTTGCAGGGTGACACTACTGTAACGGGTCCCCTATACTCTTGACTGAGTACATCCGTTGTAAGTATCCCAAATCCCAAGTGAAACAATTATCAGAGCTCTTGGTTAACCAAACAACAGCCAAGGCTTCATGAAGGGTACAACAGGAATGACTGCCATTTATTTTGTCACACATGGTTTTACAGGCACAGACCCCTACATGGGGTCTCCAACACAAAACATCAGGGATTTCAATCCCAAGAAGCTGATGGGGGCTGGAGGATGGACACAGCAGCTGGTTTAAACTAGGCTGGCAGTGTCCCTCGTACAAGCCCTGCTGGGACAGGAAAAGGAAGGGGGAGGGGTAGAAGCACAGACAAGCGATACATTCAGAAGGGGGAGGCAGGGCCGTCTTTAATTCTGATTGGACCCTGGGCAAGCATTAACTTGGGCCCCCTGACTACATATAGATACACACAAATACAAAACCTGACACACATGCAGGCACACACTGACTGCATATAGATACACACAAGAACATACAGATACACACAGACTACATATAGAACACTGACACACAGATAGACACAAACACAGATACACAACCTGACAAACATGCAGATACACAGATACAAACACTGATACATGCAGATACAAAGGTACACACACTGACTACATATAGATACACCGACACACACACTGACACACATACAGACACACAGATACACAGATACACAACCTGACACACATGCAGATATACAAACTCAAGACATACAGATACACACTGACTATATATAGATACACACACAAACACAAACGGACAACATACAGATACAAAGGCACATTCTGACAGACGTACTGACACAGAGACACACACAGACAGCCATACTGAAACACACAGACATACAGAACCACATGGACACTGACAGACTCACACATAGACATACTGACACACTGACAGACATACAGACATTATGGCACACATACACACAGACAGACATACTGAAACACACATACACACAGACACTGACAGACGTACACACATACAGACATTTTGACACTCACAGACAGCCATACTGAAACACACATACACACATACATACTGAACCACACAGACACTGACCGACTCACACACACACAGACATACTGACACACTGACAGACATACTGGCACATATACACACAGACACTGACAGACATATTGACAAACACAGACATACAGAACCACACATACACTGACAGACTCACACACACAGACATACCGGCACACTGACAGACAGACATACATACACACACACACACACACACAGACACTCATGCAAAATTTGATAACCACCCTCCAGTTTCTTACCTTTTCCTGGAGGGTGGCTTCCCTGGGGTCCAGTGGGGTGGCTGGGAGTTAAGCTCTCCCGGCCTGGCCCCCTGCGGAACAGATCCTTCCTCCCGCGCGGCTCTTGTTTCTGTGGGAGGAAGTGATGCGCGGCTGTCACTTCCTCCCAGTGCTGCCGAAAAAGCGAGGGCCCGGTCGCGCTGTTAAAGCGCCACAGCGCCCGACCGGGCCCCTGCTGACACAGGCCCACCAGGTGGCCCTAAGTGCATAGTTTGCGGGCAGAGGGCAAAAGGAGCAGCTGTCCCCAGCTGGGACAGGGCCCAGGGCAGCTGCCCCGTTTGCCCTGCGTTAAAGACGGCCCTGGGGGGAGAGTGGAGAGGCATTGAAAAGCAATACATTTCAGTCTATAGAGCTGCATATACAGACACACACACTGCTCTATGTAGAATACAGGCACCCAACACAGCGACATCTAGACACATGTAAAACAGTCACAAAAATGGTGCCTGCAAGCTTGAGGCCTGCGCCAAACAAATCAGGCCATCCATCACATATCTCTCCCCCCCCCCCATAGAAATAGACAGACCTGTGGCCAGACCCACGACGGGCCTGCAACAAGTCGGTTGGACTCCCCCGGGTCCACAGTCCAAGTCTTTGGGGTCCATTGTGACTAGACAAGTGAGTGGGTACATGTGGGCATGGCACTCAGTGACGGCGGTTCGTCACAACTACCCTCTCCGGATCCAGCATGCAATATGGAGATGAAGATAAATAGGTTTGTAGAATTTATTTCCAAATATATTAAAATTAATAACAATAAAATATAAATTATAAATAAAAATATACAGTATTAAATAGTCCTCTTTATCTTCTCTGTCACCAAGATGCGTTTCACCTGCAATTTCAGCTTTATCAATCGGTATTTTCTCCATTTCCTGTTGTCCGTGTTTTGTTCATTCAAATTGCCAGCCTATTTCCCTCATTATCCAATCGCACTTTGTTCGCTCAGGTGTTCCGTATTCATACAGGATGCTTTTCACATGAGCTTAAGTTCTCCTCAGCGCACGCTGTTATTGAGCATCGCGTAACTTCCTGTTCCCTTATGCAACTACCAATCCAAAGGTGCAATTGGTTCACGGCAAATCTGTCCACATATCTGTTTAACATTAGCTTTTGGAACTACCATACCCATAATTCATCTGGTGTGTTATAGCGTTATGCTGCTTCCAAATTATGCCAATATTTAAAAAGTCTTATACACTGTATTATTACTCATAAGACACAAAACAAATCAGTTATAAAAAAGGTTTACATCCTCAATAATGATCATTTTAAATACAATGATCTAAACATTATGCATTGTTAAAATGTCCTAAGTAGTGTAAATACTACATCTGAAGAATTAAATGAGATACAGGGAGAACAGGGAAATATTAGATGAAGGGATGAGTGATGTGAGTTTAATGGTGTGTTTAAATAAAATGGGATGGTGCACATGAAGGAAGGAAAATAGTGAGAGGAGATAAAGGAAAGTGCGAGATGAGTTAAGATGAAAGAATTGGGAGATCAAAGTCTTTATTAAGCCAGTTGTGTACACACGATTCCCATGTTATGTTTATATACACAGGAAACTTGTTTAGACAATTTTAGAAATTGCACATTTAAAAAAAATATATGGGGCGGAGCTTGACCGCCGACGAAGATGGCCGCGAACTGAGGGAGCTCCGTGGCGGCAAAAAAGTAAAGCTCTCACCAGGGGCGACTAAGCCCGCTAAAATTAGCATCAGACCGAGCACACCAACCACCCACCACTCCGGACCGCAACAGTATGGGCGGGGGGAGGAAATCAAAGTCCGGAACGGCCGTGGCTCCCATCTTCAAACCCAGGCCGGACAAAGAGGCGCCAGGCATGCTTAGCCAGCAGGCCTCAGACTCCGACTCTGAGACCAGCACAACCAGCCACAAAGTGGATGCACCATCAGCACCCCTCACTAAAAGAGACCTGAAGGACATGCTGACAGAGATGAAATCACTGGTGGCAGAGGAGCTGACAAAACACCTGGCCCCACTCAAGGAAGGACTCACAGACCTCACCAAGCGGACGCAAGCGCTAGAAAACAAAATGGAGGAGGTAACAGCCACCACCTCCACCCACGAAGCCTCCATAAAAGAGCTACAGGAGCAATTCACATACCTAGAAGACATGCAAGAAGATCTCAATAACAGGTCCAGGCGTAATAATATCCGCATCAGGGGGTTACCAGAACCCTCAACGCCCGAAGCACTCACTGCCATACTCCATGAAGCCTTCAGCAGCCTGCTTCCTGACGCCCTACCATCAGACCTCCTCCTAGACAGAGCCCATAGGGCCCTCCGACCGCCCTCCTCGAGCCCCACACAGCCTCGAGACATCATCATCCGCTGTCATTACTTCCACATAAAGGAAGCGATAATGCGGGCGACAAGGGAGACCCCACTACAAATAGAAGGTCATACAGTACAACTCTATCATGACCTAGCACCCACCACCCTACGAAAACGGAGGGAGCTGAAACCCTTGACCCAAGCCTTACAAGCACAGGGGATACGCTACTCCTGGGGTCATCCCTTTAAGCTAATGGTGCGACACAACAACCGCACTTTCACGCTAACTAAACCGTCGGAGGCACGAGACTTTGCTGCACAACTAGGCATCAGCGACCTCAACGGAGCACTGCACACAGCATCACAACAGCCTATGCCACAACGCCGACCGTGGGACCCGCAGCCTCAAAGAGACCGCACCAGAGGACAACGCTCTTCACAGACCTACGCCTAAACCCAACGACTGGAGCCGTGACCGCACCCCTACTTCATCCACGACCCACAAGATCTACACCACAGCATATTCCGGCACCCCGGCACCAGATGACAACCGAATCAACACACCAGCAGTGCATGGACTGCCTCTAAGGGGCCGGGGTGATACCGGAGATCTGCAGACCTCAATGATCGCGCCCACCGCTGGCACAGTTCACCACCGGGCTCCCCTCCGCCTGACCCTGGACCTGTTGCCCTCCGGCAAGACCACGTGGCAAGCCGGAATGCTGCACCGCTCCCCTCGGCAGCACCGGGAGAGGACTCCCCCCGAGGGTCGTTCACTCCCCAGCTCACAAGATGAAGTGCCACATGAACTCAACTGACACTGGGCGCACAGTAAGACCCACAATGGGACACTCTGGGCCTGGGTGCGGGGAAGGGCAGTGGGGAGGGGGGACTGTTGGGGGCCCCGGACCCCGGGGAAGGAGTGCACCCTAGGAGGCGCTCGGGACTGGTCCCTTAGCTTGACGACGGCCGCGGGGTTGGGGGCGCCTTGGGCCCCGCGCCTGGGGGGGGGTGGGCGGCCCCAGTGGCCTTCCGCTCCCTTCCCCTGGCGGTGGGGGCCCGGCGGTCTTGGCTCCGTGGAGGGGGGGGGCCCCAGGGGAATACAAGATGAAGCATTGTCCTCGAGTATTGTCGCTACACACAAGGGGAGCGCCCAACATCTGGGGACGAGTTGCGGGAGGGAGCGGACGGCCTGGGGCCCTGGCGGCCTTCCCCCCCCCCCTCATTGGGGCGGGGGGGGTGGCGGGCCGTGACGGCTCCACAGCCGGAGGAAAGTGCATGCTGAAAACCCATAGCTCATAACCACTCTTGCTGTGCCAGACGATATCCCATAGAGGGACCACACTTACTGGAGCCCGACCCATGCACCACACTAACAACACCCACACCAACAGAATTACTAACACACCACTCAACAAGACCTAAAAGACGATAAGGGGTGCGGCTCGACATGTAAATAGTTCAAGCAGGACTCAGGAGATCAGCCCCCACCTACTCCTCAACATCACCTAACCCCATGCCCTCACCCCCCTCCGGCCCTGGACACTTGGAGGGAGGAGGCAGGGATCGGGGGAAAACCTGACTCCCACCTGTTGCATCCTAAGTTGACCCCACCTAAGTTCTGTTATAAGTTACGACTGCCCAAACGAAACAGAAAATTGCCTGCCACATGCCCTGAAGTAGACGACCACCTCTCCCCCCGCGACTAGACCAGTACCGCCGGCCTTGGACCCTCCAGGCCCGAGAGACCGCGGACAACACAGTCCACCCTTGCTGGCAACCGTAGTAAGCCCAGCAAACCCACCCTCTACCCCACTTCACCCGCCCCACTAAGTCCCAACGCTGCCCTCTGGGGACCACCTGGGCTCCAAAACCCCCTCTTGACCATAGTACCCCTCTTCCACAAGTCATGCTCTACGAGCGATATAACCCGTACCATGCCACTTAATCTACATTGTGTCTCCATAAACGCTAAAGGCCTCAATAACCCTAAAAAACGACACTCCCTTCTACGCTGGGCTCACGGCCAAAAAGCGGACATCCTTATGATCCAAGAAACCCACTTCACCCCCCATAAACACTTCCCACTCAAGAACAAACACTACAACCGCACCTTCCTCGCTAACTCGCCGGATGCAAAAACCAAAGGGGTGGCCATCATACTCAAATCATCATGCCCACTGACCGACATCCAGGCCTTCCCGGACAAACACGGGAGGTACCTCACACTCACCGGCAGAATAGGCCCCACGACCTACTCCATCTCCTCCCTATACGCCCCTACAACCCCTGAACCACTGTTCTGGCAAACATTCTCCGCCCACCTAACAGCACACAGTGCCACATTCACCATCATAGGCGGTGACTGCAATGCCACACATCAACCAACCCTGGACCGCACTGCCAGGCCCCGGAATGAACCACGATCCTCCGTAAACGACACCCTCTTCTCCAATTTTCTAAATACACACACCCTATTAGACATCTGGAGAGCCCAACACCCGTCAACCCTAGACTTCACATACTACTCCCACCCCCACAACACCTACTCCCGCATTGACTACTTTCTGGTTTCTCCAAACGTCACCTCGCGAATCACACACACATCCATTGGTCACATCACCTGGTCGGATCATGCCGACATCTCCCTAACCCTCTCCATCCCAAACATGTTACGCCCATGGACATGGAAACTCAACTCACAACTTCTTCAAGACAAACTAGTGACCATATCCATTGCAAAAGACATCACAGAATACTTCACCCTAAATGACCCCTCTGTATCCTCCACAATCACGTTATGGGCGGCCCATAAACCGGTAATAAGGGGCAAATTGATAGCTCTAGCGACTGCACGTAAAAAACAACACAACAAACTATTAATGGAAACCATAACCGAAATAGGCCGACTAGAAACCCTCCACAAACGCAACCCGACCCCTTTACACCTTGAACAACTCACAACAGCCAGGTCCCTGCTCAAAAGCCTCTCTCTTGCAGCTACCACTAAAGCTCTAGCATGGACCAAACAAAAATACTACGAGAAAAGCAATAAAGCAGACTCCATGCTAGCAAAGCGCCTCAAAAACTTGACCGAAACAAAGCGTATCACAAAAATCCGCACTTCAAACGGTGCGATGAGCGACATACCACACACGATAGGGGAAGTCTTCCGACACTACTTCACCTCTCTATACAACCATACCCCAGAACCCCCAACAGAATTGATCCAATCCCAAACGGATAACCTCCTTAGGAGGCTCTCCCTCCCCTCCCTCACCGAAGACGCCAGATCGAGGATAGCAGCAGACATCTCTCCAGAGGAAATAATAGCGGCAATAAAGACCCTGAAACCTAATAAAAGCCCAGGCCCCGACGGGTTAACGGCCATCTACTATAAATCCTTCGGGGACATACTTACACCCAGACTAAGCAAAGTCTTTAATGCGATGCTACAAGGGGAGCCACTACCCGCTGACATGACACAAGCTAACATCACTCTCTTACCCAAACCAGGAAAACCCCACGACGAACCAGGCCACTACCGCCCCATTTCCCTCCTAAACA